TTTGACTTTGTTACTGCCTTCATATACACATAAACAAGTAGCTTTTGCAGCTACTTCTGTAACCCAACTTTTTATGTAGTTATATGTTGTTTACTGTGAATAAACTTTATTATTATTATATTATTATTCCGATAAATAGTCGTACTCTTAGAAAATTTTTTGAAGTGAATATGGGCTTAATAATTTATACAAAACATTTTTTTCTGAAGCCTAGGTCACCCATTTAAATTCAGGGTTTTGCTATTTCAACTCTCTTCTATTGCACCTAGGAAATTATATAAAGGTAGCTCCTGTACCACGTGTCTTGTAAATGCATCCGATTTTCAAATACTTGTTGTTCATAGAAAATAATTACATAGTGACAAAATTTTGAAAATGGTTTCTTACCTGCTAATGGTGGTCCAATGAGATTAGCAATACCTTGAACCAGTAATAACAACCCGTAAGCATTCGTGAATCTATCCAGAGTGATGAGTTTAACCAATATAATACATGTAAGTGAATAATTGGCAGCGATGAAGAATCCAAATCCTCCAGACAGAAAGAGAAACATTCCGTATGAGTGGAAGAGAGGTATCAAGGCTATCACTCCTCCGCATAACACCATGCAAATCGCGTAGATGATGCTAGCATTCGCCCATTTCCGATCTCCAAGCCACCCTAATATTACCTGTACAAAAAATAATAAATTTTATTTTACCAAAGAATCAATACATACACTTTCAATTCATTATTGAAGAATGCAAGAAAATGAACACAGAAAAAGGCCACAAAGGCTAACCTGCGCCTCAGTGGATCACTGAGGTTATTGTACAGTAAATTCTAAAATAAGTAGCTAGTTATTTGTGAATATACAGTGCTTTTCAGATAAAAGTATCCACCTTCAATAACTTTTGTAATACTGGTATTTAGGAAAAATCCAAAAACACGTCAATTTATGTTGGAAGGGGCAAGCATTATGGCTTATTTAAACTTACTGGAAAAGCCACCCCCTCACCCCTAGCATCATCCCTTTTTTTTNTTTTTTGTTGTTTGGATTTTTGAAGTAGAATAAATAGCACAGTTAAACAGATTAAAGAGTTTGAACTGTTGTACAACCCATTTTAGTACAGGCAAATAAGGTGAAAGTAAAAAATAAGTAAAATTTGTGCTATTAAAAGAAAAATTGTTTATCTCATAAACTAACCACTTTAACCTACAAGTATTATACATTTTTGAAATCAGCTCAAAGAGGAGTATCCAAATTTTACATAAAAAATATGAGAAGTAATTTAAAAAAAAAAGGGATGATGCTAGGGGTGAGGGGGTGGCTTTTCCAGTAAGTTTAAATAAGCCATAATGCTTGCCCCTTCCAACATAAACTGACATGTTTTTGGATTTTTACCAAATACCAGTATTACAAAAGTTATTAAAGGTGGATACTTTTATCTGAAAAGCACTGTATAGTAAATTTGTAAAATATTGATGAAATATTGGAAAATAAACATTGAATATTTGAGAAAAACAGAAATAATAGTTATTTAACCAGTGGCTAGTCAAAGTAACCAATGAGGAGGTGGTGATAACGACTTTCCTTACGAAGACGCCATCTATGGAATCGACAGAAAACCTGATCAAAAATGAACTATGGTGGAAATGGCTCTCTGTCGCAAAACCAAGCTTCTTTTTCAACCACTGAATGAGAAATGGATTTCTGTCTCTCTCCATCTCTCACTGCAAATTCTCAAATAGATGGTATTAGAGACATTTGAAAAAATGCTCGTTCTAACCTGTTACAGGTTCAATCTGTATTCTCAGTGGAATGGAAAGTTCTGAGATCAATTAATAAAAACACAGGTAATACTAGTAGAAATAGGTACAAATATTTCTGATTTTTGAACCACAAAATATGAAGTTCCTCAAGGCTCGGTACTTGGACCACACGTAACTACGACTTTGTAGGTACGTGTGGCAGATACCCGACGGAAAAACAACAACCAACCCAGCTAATGCCGCGCAGAAATATGAAGTAAAACCATCAGGCATCTGTGCAACATCGTCGATGTGGAAGATTCGTCGCAAGTTACTTCCCAATATGAAAAGCAGAAAAAACTTCTGCTTGGGGATGTTTGTAAATTAAACCTGTGAGGTCTCAAAAGATTAGCCCCACGAGTATTATACCTGTGAAATTGATCGAAAACCTATCTATATTCTTGTGTATCTCCAAGAGTGTCTGATATATGAAAATATATGGTAATGTCATAATGCCTAGTCTTCTGAAAAATGGACTCCATGAATCGCGGAAACCTGCGTTTTTATATAATTCTAATTGCACGTTTTTGAAGCGTGAAAACTTTTTTGGTCTTAAGTTGTTCTATAGCTAGCATGAAAATGAAAAAATGCATAATAAGCTGAGAGAAGAGTTTCTATACTAACAAAATTTCTCAATTGCCGGAGAGCTTCTGGTTTAATACCTCTTAATGAGGTGACCAGTTCAAAGCAACGTCAAGAGTTATTCCCAGTAAATTGACAGTTTTGCCAACAGAAATATTATTATTAGTCGAGAAAATTATTTTTTGTGTTTTTTCCTTATTGAGTCCGAGAAGGTTTGAATTGAACCACGGCTCAGCTTGTCTTTCTGCTACAAGCAGATTCTGACACTTCTTGTCAGAGCACAAGATCGATGTGGCATCAGCATAAATGACACATGTGTAAGGTAATAGTTCATAGAAGAGACCGTTTATATAAACTATGAATAGAAGAGGCCCCAGCACGGACCCTTGAGGAGCTCCGAATTCGATCAGCTATTCTGTTGATGCCTAGATCAACACGCTGTTTTCTATTTATCAAATACGATGAAAAAAGTGAAAGTGTCACACCTCTGACTCCATGTTTTTCCAGTTTATGTAAGAAATTAATATGAGAAATATATTTACTCAAGTCACAAAGTGTCGCAGCACTATGTATATTCTACAGCTGTAAAAAGTTTTCTCACCTCTCCAACCATATTAACGATCCCTATGACAGAAATCAGTAGTGAAGAATCCTCTTCAGAATACCCGTATATCCTGGCATTATCTGTTAAGTAGACATAGGGAACGTCGTACCACGTGTACAACAGAAAATTGGATAATGCGAAAACCAAAAACTTCGGATCAGCAAAGTGGGAAAAATCAAACATATCAACTAGCAGATCCCACAGGTCCCAAAGTCCGGCATACCATACAACTTTTTCCTCGGCTATAGTTGTCATAGAATTCCTATAGATATCGGGGCAGGAACTAGCTCTTAATCTGTACCTGTTGATGTTCAGCATAGCTCCTCTGTAAGAAACTGACAATCTGTGAATTTTGAGATCTCTCAGGAAAGCTGTAGGAACTTTCTTCTGAGGATTTATTCGTGGGGGAGTCATCTGGTCTCTCCTTAAAGATCCCAAACACGCTAAATCTTCGTTATAATTGGCTTTAGTTTCTATGGAACTAGAAGGAGGCGACAACTCTGAGTGAGTGGCTGCGTGTTTCGTAGATAAGATTCCTTCATGAAACTTTTCAGAATCGTCAAAACTTTTTGACGGAGTCAGTAAACTAGGATAATTTGTTAGTAGAACGTTGTAAACGTTTTTATGCGTCGCCAAAAGTTCCAAAACCTCGACTGGTACTTTTTCTCCGTTCTTCACGAAAGTAGGCAAGTTAACTAATGAACGGTAAAGCCTATCTTGAGGAATATCATCAGGATCAATTTCCTTTTGGACCTCCAAAATTGGTTGGAGTACACTGGCTGTATTGGTACTAATGCTAACTGAAAACGAGTCGACTGAAGAACCTTTGTTTTTCCTCTTCAAATGTCTGTTTGTTTTCCTCTGCTTGGCTAGGCTTTTCTGTTTTTCCGAAGTCCAAGGAAGATCTCTCATCAAAGCTCCGAAAACTATCAAGTTCAAAAAGAGTCCTGCTAGTATTAGCGTCGTTCCTCTCCATCCATATTCATCAAGAAGCAGCTGTATGAGAGGTGGGAAAATAAATGTTCCTATTCCACTTCCGCAAACGGCTAGGCCAGTAGCAAATGATCTTTTCTTATCGAAATAGTAAGCTACTATCACGACCGATGCTACGAAGCAAAGACTCAGACCAAAACCGGCTAAAATTCCGAAAGTGAGACAGAGAACAATCATAGAGTTTGCCATTGAGCTTATAATGAACCCGACAGAAGCTAGTATTGCACCAAAAATTGTAACTCTTCGACAGCCGTAGCGGTCTGTGAGGAAAGAGGCTACTGGACCGGATAACAGAGGCATCGCCATAAAGAGACTTCCTACCCATGCCGTAGTACTTCTATTTTGACCGAAATATTTCAGAAATTCTACAAAAATTACACCGAAACTGAACGTAATACCATCCGCTATTAAATTAACTGCAAACGCAGCGAACACAACTACCCACCCCCATCCTCCATCGGGGGGTGAGGCTTCAGAAATTTCTAACGATTCGCTTGAGGACGATGAACTAGATGACAAACTAGATCGAGGACTACACGATGGTTTGTTTATAGAAGTATCGCTGTTGTTCCCACTGTTGAACTGGACTCGAAGTACGGGTCTGTCATCTTCGTTCTCCCTATCGCAGATCATCAAATTATTTTGAAGAAGTGTTTTGGATTCAGAGTTATCTAGCGGATTAGAGTAGAGGTTATTCAATTTTATTTTAGGTTTCTTGGAGGTGTTTTTGTCATTCAGGATCAGTTCCAAATTGTTGATTTTTGGTGTTTTTTTAGGAGAAATGGATGGAGGAGGAGTCTTCTGCGTTTCATCTCCCATAAGAGGGAGTGACTGTCCATTAATCGAAATATTTTCACAGAAATATCCATTGCTAACACTATTGACTGGAGATTGGTTTACTTCTTTGCTGACTTTAGTTGGTGGTAACTGATTAGTGTTCGCGTTCGATTCGGCCATTCTTGCAAATCTCTACAGAATTCCCTGCGTAACGACGCAAGAAGAATGATGCTTGTACGCCGTTTCATACGTGTAGTAGGCTGCCCCTGCCGATCGTCGAATTTTCCAAAAGTTGCCATGCGGCGATTACTTCGATCAGTAAGGGAAGAAAATGCTCTGGAAGGAAAAAAAAAAGAAAGTTAATGATTGTAGGAAACTTACCAACGAGTGAAATACGTATAACATTAAGATGGGAAAATAAATTAGTTTCTGGTAAAGACGAGTTCCTCTAATGCATCTGAAATGAGCCTAAACTACATTAATCTCCTACTGAAAACACTCTTCCTAGACCAGAACAAAAATTCTGTTTCTCGACGCGAGTTCTGCTGACTTAGTCATCTCCCGTTAATGCTAACTTGGTCAGCGATAGGCGAGACGAGAATCAGTAGCTTTATTTTTGTGTGAGAAAAGTGTTTTTATTGAATTTATTTCACACCAGAAGTTCTACATTCTTCCAATTAAATTATTCTTGATTATTTCTCAACATTTTTATCAGCAAGTTCACAAATAACACATGGGCTGTTCAAAATTGCCTTTATTTATCAACGTAATCTCCATCAGAAGACACACAATCATTCCATTGTCGCTCTAACATTTCAATACCACTTTTGTTGAACGATTGATCTTTTGCTTATAAATAGGCCTCAGTTTCAGCAATAACATCTTCATTCGAGCAGAATTTTTTACCGGTTTCTGAGGTCTGTGAATACAGTGGATACGGGAGCAATTCGAAGTTCAATTCATGTAGTTTTGCCATTGTTTTGATTGACTCGTGACACGGTGCGTTGTCTTGATGAAACAACATTTTTTACTTTGCCATATGCGGTCGTTTCTTTGGAATTTCGGCCTTCAAACGCTCCAATAACGCTATACAGTGTATAAAAGCCAAATGGAATAAATTCATTATTTCGGTTACGGTATATATTTTAACAAAATCCCGAAACACGTCAAATGACAGGTACAACCCCCAATTTTTTAAATGGGATGTATAAGGTTGTGACATATCGTTCAAAAGGTATCTTCATTCTCTATTCAAAAATGTTATCGCTTTCAAGTTTATTGCAACAATTGAGATAAAATAAATTAATGTCATGCGGTTACTGAAATTCGATAAAATACACTCAAAACTCAGATAATAAGAAACTAAGCAAGAACCATAGCAATCAATGTTCTTTTTAGATGGTATCCCTTGAAAAAACTGTAAATAATTTCCGTGGCAACGTTAGTTTAAAACGCCTTGTCAACTTATTTTGTATGTTACTACATTAGTAGTCAGTATTTCAATTTAATTTTAAAATTAGTTAACTTCAAGTCTGACAAATGGTTAGATTACCGGAAATGAATAAAATAACAGTTTTATAAATGTTTGATTACGGAAATAAAACCCAAACACAACAGGAAATAGTTCGCCTATTTCATGAGAAATTTACTAATTTACCGCCCATATCTCAAGGAACAATAAGCAAAATAGAGAAGCAGTGTCGAGAGCTTGATCATGTGGGGCAGATAAAAAAAGCAGCTGCCAATGCAATGAGTAATGAACTCAAATTACATGTGATGCTTGAGTAGACATCATACATCGAGTAGACAGGCATCCACTACATTCAATGTTAGCCATACATCGACAGTAAACATAAAAAAAAATAAAAGACATTTCTATAAAATGATACCTACTCTGGAGCTCATGGAAGACGATTTTGATAAAAGAATTTATTTTTGTGAGCAAATGATGGGCATGTTGGATAACAATATCATCCAATTAGAAAACGTTATGTTTTCTGATGAGTGTACTTTGTCTCTCAACGGTTATGCTAATCGGCAAAATTGCCGCTACTGGTCAATAAAAAATCGTCGCTGGATGAGAGAAGAACATACGCAATACCCTCAAAAGGTTAATGTTTGGGCAGGGATTGTAGGAAACCATATCATTGATCCCTTTTTCATCGAGGGCAACTTGAATGATGATAAATTATTTGGCACTACTTCAAAACGATGTAATTCCAAGTTTAGCACATTTATATCCTGATTCAGGAAACCCACAAGTTTCAGTGAATACGATATGGTTTCAGCTGGATAGAGTACCACCACATTACCAAGTTAATGTCCGGCCATACCTCCATACAACATTTCCCAATCGGTGGATAGGGAGGCGAGGATTGATTGAATGGCCAGCGCAATCACCTGATCTGATCACCTGAACAGTGAGCTCGCGCGGCACCCACTTTCTCATCTTCGAATGCTTATGCAATTCAAACCAACATTTTCTTTGGATATCTTTACAATGTCAGCTAACTCACGCAACTTTACTTATCGATCATTGAAAACGATTTTGGAGCTACTGGTGTTACTGCCTCATTGTTTTGAAAATAATGGAAGTAGTGTCACTCTTAACACAATAACTCACAAACTTATGAGTAGAATATCATGAAACTTGAACAGCTTTCTTTTGAAGGCTAGTACTAACTTAAAAAGCGTTGAATGCAATAACACTAGCGCCATCTATGTGTTGCGCCCGAAACCTTTCGGCCCATGTAGTAAGTTAACAAAGAACATGTATAAAAACATCGTACAAATTGAAAGACATTTAAATTAAAGATCGATTAAATATTTCAATCAATAAATCTGAACACTTAACACTTCGTGTCGGAATTGGCCGATACTTGATGAAAATCCATAATTTATTTGAGTAACAATTTTTTATGAGACTTTTATCGAACAGTTTACAAAACCGTAACACATAATAGGTATATTCGTACCTGTATTGACTTAGTCATCTCCCGTTAATGCTAACTTGGTCAGCGATAGGCGAGACAAGAATCAGTAGTTTTATTTTTGTGTGAGAAAAGTGTTTTTATTGAATTTATTTCACACCAGAAGTTCTACATTCTTCCAATTAAATTATTCTTGATTATTTCTCAACATTTTTATCAGCAAGTTCACAAATAACACATGGGCTGTTCAAAATTGCCTTTATTTATCAACGTAATCTCCATCAGAAGACACACAATCATTCCATTGTCGCTCTAACATTTCAATACCACTTTTGTTGAACGATTGATCTTTTGCTTATAAATAGGCCTCAGTTTCAGCAATAACATCTTCATTCGAGCAGAATTTTTTACCGGTTTCTGAGGTCTGTGAATACAGTGGATACGGGAGCAATTCGAAGTTCAATTCATGTAGTTTTGCCATTGTTTTGATTGACTCGTGACACGGTGCGTTGTCTTGATGAAACAACATTTTTTACTTTGCCATATGCGGTCGTTTCTTTGGAATTTCGGCCTTCAAACGCTCCAATAACGCTATACAGTGTATAAAAGCCAAATGGAATAAATTCATTATTTCGGTTACGGTATATATTTTAACAAAATCCCGAAACACGTCAAATGACAGGTACAACCCCCAATTTTTTAAATGGGATGTATAAGGTTGTGACATATCGTTCAAAAGGTATCTTCATTCTCTATTCAAAAATGTTATCGCTTTCAAGTTTATTGCAACAATTGAGATAAAATAAATTAATGTCATGCGGTTACTGAAATTCGATAAAATACACTCAAAACTCAGATAATAAGAAACTAAGCAAGAACCATAGCAATCAATGTTCTTTTTAGATGGTATCCCTTGAAAAAACTGTAAATAATTTCCGTGGCAACGTTAGTTTAAAACGCCTTGTCAACTTATTTTGTATGTTACTACATTAGTAGTCAGTATTTCAATTTAATTTTAAAATTAGTTAACTTCAAGTCTGACAAATGGTTAGATTACCGGAAATGAATAAAATAACAGTTTTATAAATGTTTGATTACGGAAATAAAACCCAAACACAACAGGAAATAGTTCGCCTATTTCATGAGAAATTTACTAATTTACCGCCCATATCTCAAGGAACAATAAGCAAAATAGAGAAGCAGTGTCGAGAGCTTGATCATGTGGGGCAGATAAAAAAAGCAGCTGCCAATGCAATGAGTAATGAACTCAAATTACATGTGATGCTTGAGTAGACATCATACATCGAGTAGACAGGCATCCACTACATTCAATATTGCATTGTTTCAAATTTACAGGATGTAAAGAACTAAAAATGTTTTTATTAATATTTTGTCCCTTATCGGATAAGGGATAAGGCTTATACCGTTTTGATGAAATTTATTCATTTATCGTATAGCCAATGACGTGTCTTAGTTTTGTAAACTTTAAGTGGAAATCTCACATCAAAGTGTGTTTTTTTAATACAAAAGTTAAAAAAAAAAGAAAAGATAATTGAAACTTTCTATGTGTTTTACCACTTTTATTTGTAACTAACGTTATTGCAGTTTCGTCCTAAAGCGTGTTTTTTATAGAGGTATAGAACTTTAAGTTGCAATAAAACAACGATGGATTATTCGATTGACATGAATTTTATTTATCCGAAAGAT